CTATCTATCTATCTATCTATCTATCTATCTATCTATCTATCTATCTACTATTTTCCAATTTATATTTATTTCTTTATTTTCCTCTTTGTTGGGTTTTCTATATTTACCTCATTATCTTTAAACAATACTATTCTCTCTTTTTATCTTTATCACTTTCTCCAAAAATGTATCAATAACATTTCTTCATACAATATATTTATTAACCCCTGTTAAGTCACTAATGTTTTAATATTATAAATATTGCTCCATGTTCCACCATATTTTCAATATCTCAACTTTCTGTGAACACCAGTATAACCAATTATTAATAAGATTTAATCAATCCTGAAATTATGTCTCTAAGTCCTCTGAATTTATAATCCTTGAAAACTATATATTCCAGTATATTTTTACATCCTGTTAATCATAATAATACATTTAAATATACCTAGTCCTAATCTTCCACCTCTTAAACTTAATATATTTGAGGTTATAATAAATTCTATTATATATCTATATATCTGCTACTATTTTCCCAATTTAAACTTTCCACTTATTTCTATTGATTTTTAATATAATTACTGCATTGCAAAATCATCTCTCAATCTTTTTAGAATTTCACCATTTATTGATTTTTGGGTGATTCTTTTATATTTCTCTCTTGAAATCTTTCTAGCTTTTTTACACAAACTGAGTGTTTCCTCTGCCTTACTCTTTATCCCCTTCTGCTGTATCTTTTGAATATCCATCTGTAGCCCTTTCATAATTTTTGGAAAGTCTTCCTTTTTTCTCTATTTTATTGTAAGCTCTTAAGGGATTATCTATTTGATATTTAGTATTTATTGTTACTGTCTTTTCTGTGCTTTTATCTGCTTGTAACTTATTTTTATCTTCTTGTAATTTATTTTGCTTTGTCTCCTCCACCACTTCCTCTAATTTCTCATCTATCTTCTGTGTATTATATTCAGCGGTGGGATTCTACAGGTTCTTACCTATTCACCAGAACTGGTTGTTAACATTCTAAGCAGTTCGGAGAACCGGTTGTTAGAAGAAATTACTGGCCTAATCCTGTAAGGAAGGCAGGAAGGAAACATTCTAGTGTTGCTTACAGAAACTGCCTCTCCATTAACCTTTATTACATTCTTGGCAGGACTAGACTTCCTGTCGCAGGAACTTCTCTGGAGTTTTTTCCCCCTCCTTTGCTGGTACTTTGCTTGTGTGGAGTGACCATTCAAAGTTACAATGGCACTGAAAAAAGTACAATGGCACTTATGACCATTTTTCACATTTACGACTATTGCAGCATCCCCACAGTCACGAGAGGCCAGGCGAGGAGATGTGTGCCTCGATGTGAGTGATATTGAGTTGGCCATGCCCAGCCAGTCACATTACCACCAAGCCACACCCACCAACTAAGCCACACCCACAGAACCAGTTTTTTAAAAAATTGAATCCCACCCCTGATTATATTCATCTTTTCCCACCATTTGTTGAGGGCCTTCTACTTTCACATCTTTATCTTTAAATATTCCCAACAATTTCTTATAATTCTTTGTCATCATTTCTAACATTTCTTCATAAAACTTTATGATCTCCTGCTGAGTCATTTTGTACCAAGTTAATATACCTTTAATATTACAATATCCTAATATCTAAAAACTTCAAAAAATATTATTATTTATAAAATTTAGTCAGCCTCAGAATTATTCCTCCAAGTCCCCTAAATTTCTAGTCCTTAAATGCTATAAGTTTGTACTTTTCAGTCTTTATAATTTCCAATTTACACTTCCCAATTGTCCAGATTTCAAAGTCTTATTTATCTTTTCTTTCATCACTTTTTTTCTTTTGCTTTGTAGGATAATCTGTCACGTGGTGTTATTAATCCAAATCTAACTTGGCCCACCAGGTTTCTTCAGATCTTTCAAATCTACTTTTCAATGCACAGATCCAATAAAGTTTTAGTGTTTAGTTTAGTTTGCCTTATGGATTTTCAAAAAGCTCAGTAAATATTTCCCAGCATCCAAATCCAACACCTTCCTGGTGTTGTTTACTTTCTCTCCTTTCATCACTTTCCTTTCAAATGTTGCAGTGACCTTCTTCCTCCAGTAGATGGCTCCCCTGCTCCCAATTCCAGTGTTCAACAGAGTGTAAAAGTCCAAAACAGCTGATTTTCAGGGGAGTTAGAGATAGAATTTAGAAAAGGAATTTCTCCCAATAATGACTTTTCACTATATTATTTGGCTTTTCCAGGATTTCTATATTTTAAATCATCTTTTAGATTTTTTTTTTACTTCTAAGTCTTTAATCTTTAATCTTCCTCTTTAGTTTTAGTCATTGATATTTCTCCATAAATTCAATTGCCGCTTTCTTAATGTTTGGAGATCATTTTTGGAACTTTTTACTTGGGTTAAATCTCTAAAGTAACAGTTGGAAGTTATCTCACCCAGTTTCACTGCTCTGCCAATGCACCGATCCAGCACAAGATCTTAGTGTCCCAGCTTGTGACAGACCAAAATGGCCATCACCCCTGCTGCCATTCAGTAGAGCTTTCTTCGGATCAATGAGGAAATGGCTGTTTCCTCATGATCAACAAGGTGCCTCTCCTTTCTTTACCACCCCTTCAGGGAGGCTTAACCCCACAGGGTCTCCCAGCAAGCAGTTGCTGTCTGCATTTCATGGAGCCTGGTGGAGCTCTGCTATTTTCCAGCCATTCTTGCCATAACCCCAACCGGAAGTCCTCAGCATAGCTTACTTTTGACAGTGGTAATTAGATCTCCAGCTCAATCACAGCATTGAATTGAAAACACTTCTTGCATGATTTTACTCTCCAAGCTGGCAAGAAATTCTAGGACTTGTAGTTCCCACTATATCTAAATTAAAACATTAAAGAGAGCTTGACTAAAAATTGTGAGCTCAGATTCAGTAGAGGCCCAAGCATGAATCCCCAGCAAAAGAAAATATCCCAGATTTGCAAGACTTACAACCTATTTTTGAAATACATATTAGAACATTGACAAAATTTTAAATGAGAAATGTAATCTTATGCAGTTAATTGAATTGGGAAATATCAGTTGGTAATATTTAATGGAATTATTCCATGCTTGCTTACTGAGGTGATACATATAAAATTCAGAAATGTTAAATGCATTAATTTTAAAAAGTGTGTAATATTTAGGAGCTAAGGTGAATGTGACAAAACTGCTTCCCACTCCATTTATAGTCTGGGTAAAATGAAGGCCAAAGCGAAGTCCTAAAATAACTTGGTCAACAGGTGAATGGCAGTGCAGGATTAAGTGGAATGATGTTTTCTTGATGCTCTGTTGAGCTCCTTACTACTGCACCCATTCTCCACACCACCCAGGCAGCTGGGCCATTTTTAAACACAGATTTACCAGTCTTGCAGAATATTTGTGGTTGCATGTTCAGGAAAAGCCAGAAAGACAGGTTACCAAATAGGCATCAAGTTCATTCACACAACAATTTATCATTCAGCCCATCTGAAAGATAGCTGAAGGCTCTGTCCCTGCCAGTTGCCAAGCGCCCTTCATTACCTTTGAGGATAGTGACCGATGATGAGCTTTCTCCCCAGCCAATGACCTGAATGGGAAGGGAAATAAAGCCAGAGGAATCTACCAATCACTACTCTTAAAATCTTGCAGTAAAGTTATATAGACAAGGATCTTTTACAAGCTTGATAATTGAGGCAGATTAGTGCTCAGCTGTTGGCATATTTTTTGCTAGTACATCTGCTCTTTTATATTTCAGAATGGAGGAGCAGAAGTAGATCAGCTTAGTACTACTATTTTCTACTTTTTTTCTCTCTTCTGTGCCCATATAATAAAATGACGCTTCCTTTTCCAATGTCAGTACCAGTAAGGGATGGGAAGGAAAGTAAAAATATTTCCCACAGATTTGTCTGCATTAACTATTGACGGCATCATGAGAAAGAACTGGCAATCCCATTTTAGCACTTTTTAAATATTGTCTTGTCTTATCTCCATGCCTTGATTAAGCTCTCTTATCTTGCTCTTTTTGTACCACAGAACATTGCCCAGCAGCAAAATACACAAGACAACAAAGAATTCAGGGCAAAGCATTATTATTCAAGCAATGTTTTCTCTTGCTGCAACAAGGGCTGCATTCAACTAAGAATCACTAGTGAGAAATCACTCACAGCAGGCATTGTACATGTACATGTCTATTATTTGTTTGATTCATCAGTCTTATCAACCCAACAGGAAGCAAATGCATTTCTAAAATGCTCATAAATTCAGATTATATCGGTCAATGGATTCCCAAGAAA